AGGGGATTTGGGGGTCCCAGGGAAGGTTTTGGGGGTCTCTGGGGGAGTGTTGTGGGTCCCTGGGGGGGGTTTGGGGTCTCTGGGTGGGTTTGAGGGGAGGGAGTGGGTGAGGGGGGTGACTGTGACCCCCACCAGGGGACAGGGGTGTGTCTGGGGGGTCTGGGGGGGGGGGGGCGGTTGGGGGACCCCTCTGGAGCCCCCTGGGGCTCAGCAGGAAGGAGCAGAGGAAGATGAAGGAGCCGAGGTTCGGGTCCCTGGGGGGGGTTTGGGGTCTCTGGGTGGGTTTGAGGGGAGGGAGTGGGTGAGGGGGGTGACTGTGACCCCCACCAGGGGACAGGGGTGTGTCTGGGGGGTCTGGGGGGGGGGGAGCAGTTTGGGGACCCCTCTGGAGCCCCCTGGGGCTCAGCAGGAAGGAGCAGAGGAAGATGAAGGAGCAGAGGTTCGGGATTTGGGGGGGTGTTTAGGAGGGGGGGATGTTTAGGATGGATGAGCTGCTGCCAGGCCTGGGAACCTGTTCTAAGGTATAAAAGCCTGGCCTGACTTTCACGGGGCTGACTCGTTATTTACAAAAAAAATGAACAAAACCCAAGAAACAACAACAACAAGAACAAAATCAAAAAAACCCCAATCAAACAAACATAAAAAAAACCAACCTCCCCCCCAAAAAAAACCCCAAGAAAAATAAAAGAATAACGAGAAGAAAGACAATAAAAAGAGCAAAATAATTACACAGCAAAAATAAATAATGAAAATAACTTAATAATAAAAACAATAAAATAGTAAAAATAATGAAATACTAAAAATAATGAAATAACTTTAAAAAATAATTATTTTTTTTAGAACCAGGACAGGTTCTTCCACAGGCTATACAGATAATTGTTTTAACATAATTGCTTTGATACGGTGCCCTGTACTATTTTATTCCATATTACACCCTCCTGGTAGGTTTTGATAATTCTGATCAAGATCTTTGTGTCTGCTCATCTGTCTGAATAAACGACTCACTTCATAGAAATATCTTTGATTTGCCACCGTTCAAACCTGAGGGGACGAAGGTGGTTTGACCCCACCTCTTAAATTTAAATTCCAACTGAAATTTAAACTTAAATTTAAACTTAGACTTCAATTTAAATTCCAACTGAAATTTAAACTTAAACTTAAACTTCAATTTAAACTTAAACTTAAATTTAAATTNCAGGGACAGACCCTGGGGGACAGGGATGGATCCGAGGGGGCAGGGATGGATCTGAGGGGGCAGGGACAGGCCCTGGGGGACAGGGATGGATCCGGGGGGCAGGGATGGATCCGAGGGGGCAGGGATGGATCTGAGGGGGCAGAGACAGGCCCTGGGGGACAGGGATGGATCCAGAAGCGCAGTCCAGCTCCAGGGGACAGCGACACCTCCCAGAGGGGACGGAGGAGGACCCCCAACCCCCCCCAGGGACCCCCAATTACCCCCCCTCAGAGACCCCTAACCCTCTCAGGGACCCCCAGCCCCCCACCCACCCCGGGGGGGGGTTCGCGGGGACCGAGAACAACCCCCGAGGGGGCTCCCTGGGCCCCCCCAAGCCCCCCGCCCGCCCACCTTCATCATGAGGACGATGGTGTTGAGGGCGATCATGGCCATGATGGTGTACTCGAAGGGGGGGGACACCACGAACTGCCACATGCGGTACTGGAAGCTCTGGCGGTTCTGGGGCATGTGCCGGGTCAGCGGCTTGGCACTGATGGCAAAGTCGATGCAGGCCCTCTGGGGAAAAGGGGGGGACACGGGGGGTCACCCACCCTGACAAGGCCTAAAATACATCCAGAGACCCCAAACGACCCAAGCTCTGCTTGGGTTTTGTGGGTCTAACCCTGCCAAGGCCTAAAATCCATCCAGAGACCCTAAATGAGAGGGTCTAACCCTGACGAGGCCTAAAATCCATCCAGAGAGCCCAAACAGGAGGGTCTAACCCTGATAAGGCCTAAAATCCATCCAGAGACCCCAAATAGGAGGGTCTAACCCTGACAAGGCCTAAAAATGCATTCAGAGACCCCAAACAACCCAAGCTCTGGCTGGTTTTGGTGTTGGGAGGGTCTAACCCTGCCAAGGCCTAAAATCCACCCAGAGACCCCAAAAAACCCAAGCTCTGGTTGGTTTTGGTGGGTCTAACCTTGACAAGGCCTAAAATCCATCCAGAGACCCCAAACGACCCAAGATCTCCGTAGGAAGTCACTGCTCTGGTCACCCACCCCAGAGAGGCCTCTGGCGGGAGGGTCTAACCCTGACAAGGTCTAAAATCCACCCAGAGACCCCAAACAACCCAAGCTCTGCTCGGTTTTTGTGGGTCTAACCCTGACAAGGCCTAAAATCTACCCAGAGACCCCAAACAACCCAGACTCTGGTTGGTTTTGGTGTTGGGAGGGCCTACCCTGACAAGGCCTAAAATCCACCCAGAGACCCCAAACAACCCAAGCTCTGGTTGATTTTAGTGTGTCTAACCCTGACAAGGCCTAAAATCCACCCAGAGACCCCAAACAACCCAAGCTCTGGTTGATTTTAGTGTGTCTAACCCTGACAAGGCCTAAAATCCACCCAGAGACCCCAAACAACCCAAGCTCTGGTT